ACCTTAACAGAGGCAATATGTGACTACAGTAAAAATACGAGACCATAATTTCCTGAAGCTGCAGAGATTTGAAAGGCTTTGATCTTTTTTAAGATATATCACCATAAAAGTACCAATTTAGCCCCGTGAGGAAGAGTTCTAGACTTCTTGAAATAGTTTTAATAGTTGATAATCATAGTATTTCCCTGCAGCCTGTAATAAAACAGACTTTTTTCCAGTCATCTTATTTTTTCATTTTCCCAAGAAGTTAGAAATTCTTAGTATTATTACTCTCTTAATATATATAAATCTAGTTACTTTGTTGTGAGTAAATTTTAATGCTCTTTGGTGTTAGGACAAGAGAGAGTATTCAAATTGAGAAGCAAATAGATGCCTTTTAAACTCTACAATCAGCTGCCAAGTGTTTAATGTTTTTTGGGTTTGTTGTGGGTTTTGATGTGTGTGGGGATTTGTTTCGGTTTGTTTTTTGCTTGATGATAATGCAGAAATTGATAGTGCATGAACAGTTCCTCACCCATTTAAGAAAACGAATTGCAGCCTGTGCAGCTCCAGATGTTTGAATTTTTAGTCAAGAATGTCCTACGAGTGACAGAGCCAGCAGAAAAATCTAACTGTAATGTCTCTACATGAGTTGGCTTAATAGTCTTGTGTCTTAATTCTAGAACTATTTTTGTGTCTTAATATTTTTGAGTGATATTTATTTCAGGGAGAGTAAATCCCATTGCAAAAAAAAAGACAGTCTAAGTTAAGGTGAAGTTTTCGTGATATTTGCACGGCTGGCAGATAACCATATTTTATGTGTTCAGGATGAAAATGGAGTAAACCGTCCAGTATGTTCATACATCAGACCACTTCGAGCAGGCCGACTACTAGACACACCTAGACAAGCAGCACGGTTTGTCAGTGTCCTGGGCTACGAAAGAGCTCCTGTCATCGGAGGCGGCGGTGGCAAACAAGAACAGTGGTGCACTCTTCTTGCTTTTTTGTGTAGAAACAAGGTATGTGAAAATAGTCCTTGCGTGACACAACAGAGTTGATATCATATTCTAACTGAAGTCAGTAATTTAAAACAGGCTGCAAATACATGGATTAAATCAAATTTGGAGAATTCTGTTACAGTAATCTGTTCAAGGTCTTTCTAAAGAGAAGCAGATGTTAAACAGTAGACAAGAAGGTTTTGGAGCAGACTTTCTTTACTGCTATTGTTGGGGTCCATTTGTCAATACATCTATTTGACAACGAGCTTGCTTTTCTTCATTTGCTTTTCTAAGATCCCATATAATTATTCAGTGAATCCCTGCTAGTGTGCAGGACACCAGTTTAAATTTGGACTAATCCAGAAAGAGTTGAAAAAGTCTCTTTTGATAAACTGTTTCTCTTATAGATGGGAAAAAAAACCCCACTTGACAGTTTTTACATTCCGTTTTTGCAAGATAGGGATTTTCGCTAGAAGTTTTAGCCTAGTTCTTGGTGATCTGACACTTGTATCATACGACTATAATAAATGAAACAAATTGTAACTCGTTCTGGATTATAGCTCTTTTATGGTATGAATAAAAGTAATAGTGATCCCTTTTAATCCCTTTTTCAAATTGTTTTTTCATTGCCACTGAGATACTTCTGCCTTCAAAAATGACACCACGGATGTGTTTGTATAAGAAAGATGTGTTCTTGGCAGCAGGAGCTGTATCCCAGCTTTTAGACCTGTCCCAGAGACCACACAGAGCAGGCGTTAGCTGTTGTCTCTGAATATCGTGTCATGCATAGGTAGCATATAAAGGACCACTGGCTTTCGAATGGAGGTGATGATAGTGACTTTGAGGACCATTGTGTTTGAAGGCACAGAGAAAGGGTTTCCTCCAAGGCAGAAGTGGAAAGCTGTGTAGAAAACAGCTGAGTTTAGCCCCTGAGACGCCAGCTGGACCATTACAGTTTTCCTTGTGGAAAGGGGTATGGTATTACAAAATGAACACAGGTTCTCTGGAAACTTGTTTAAACCTACTTTTCTGCATGCTTCCCTTATGTACATTATGGTAAGGAAGATTGCGTTATCTGTGGAATGAACGGATACATCCGAGAACACTGAATTTTACATTTTCAACGTTCTGAATAGTGTTTGACTAAAGAACCTTACTCTCCTACTTCTGAACACTGTGCTTTGTATTATGAAGGCTTCATTGCATGAGGAATTTTTGTTCTTACCTTACGGTTGACATTTGTAAAGAATTCAAGAGACAAAGAATATTAGACATCACATTCAAAAATTGTTTTCTGTGAATTATCAATGGTAGTAATGTGTTTATGAAAGGAATGTTTTTTTTCTGACTGAGGGGAAAACCAGCTGCACGTGACTTTCAGCTGGTTTATAGTTAGATCTGTGGGGGAGGCTTATCTTTGTGTAATTTCTGAACTTTGACAGCACATTCAAGGCAGTGAAATAACAGTAGAATTACGTTTTATTAAGTAACTAAATTTCCTAACTCTGTGAAAATACAGTGTAATTTCTAGTATTACCTCAGGTATTTGCCTTATACGTTTTTCACATTTAATTAGCCTATTGGTTTTGTCTTCACGGGTCAATATATCAATTCTGGTTTGGGATCACTCGGAGGTATCTTTATAATCATAAGAAATATTTTCCAGTATTAACCATACACTATACTTGAATAAAAAATACAGTCTATCATTAGAAGATACTACTATTTTGAACTGATCTATTCTATTACAGAAAAGTAAAACTTGTCAAGTTTAAACCTTAAAATCCTGACTTCTGATAAGTGCTTTAGGTAAACAGGAGGGAAACATGACTTGTTAAATAGTGGTTAGGGAAATATCGCTATTTTCTTTAAGGTTTTATCCATGCCTGATAGTCAAACCACCTTACTAATGTTTACTGTCTAGGGTGACTGTGAAGATCACGCCAACCTTCTGTGCAGTCTTCTTCTTGGGTTTGGGTTGGAAGCCTTTGTGTGTGTTGGAACAAAAGCAAAAGGAGTCCCCCACACTTGGGTAATGACTTGTGGGATTGACGGAACAATTACTTTTTGGGAGAGCTTAACAGGACATAGGTGAGTAAAAGGAATATAAACAAACTGAACAATGTATATTGAGGATCGTGTGAGATATTTTTGTTGTTGCTTGTTCTTTTTTTTTATCTTTACACCCTGTCATGTAACTGTCATGTAATCCAGATGACTTTTGTCTTTGAATCTTTTCTCTGTGTACTGCTTTTGTTTGGAAAATAACTGGTTCAGTGTGAGGTGAAATGTTTCAGCAATTTGCAATATAGTTTTAAGTGGCTTTAATACCGTGTAGTAACTGTTTTGTTTCTCGCAGCAGCTGATTGCCATTGATGCTGTCACTGCCCTCATTTGTAAAGAAGGACATGGCTTATATTTTCAAAAGGAGAAATGGCTTATATCTAGCCCATCTAAGTATTTTTACCTTACCTTGACAGAAGGTGTTTTAATAAGAAATTGTATGTTTTTGATTAGGTACATCCACAGACCTATCAACCCTGACGACCCTCCGCTCGTCGAACAACCAAAGCCACTGTATCCTTATCGCACAGTAGGTTGTATCTTCAACCATCAAAAGTTCTTTGGAAATTGTCAACCCTCTGACGCTGTGGAGGTCTGCGTGTTTGACCTACATGATGAATCTAAATGGAAATCCATGAGTGGAGAAGCAATAAAATCTGTATGTCCCCCGGGAACAATGTCTTCAGTTCCCCCTTTTCCTCCCCTGTGTGCTTCCGCGATAGATGCTGCAGTAGCAAGCAACGAGGTAGAATTGCAGCTGAGAATACTGGTCTCTGAACACAGAAAGGTAACAGCGTTTAAAGATTGTCATTGATCTGTTGCAGTAATAAAGGTCCATGTTTTTACTGTGTACTTGTTTTGGATAGCCGTTTGTTAGTTCACATACTCATATCTTTGCAATGTGTTTTCCATCAGCTTTTGCAGAAATGCAGTATGTGAAAAATTGTTTGAGAGGACTGTATGGGGCTAGTTTAGATGTCATACTTATTATTTGTGGTGGTGATTTGTAGCCTTGTGTGTGGGCTATTCCCCTCACCCTTACCTTTGCCTCTTGTTTGAGGTCTGTGATTCTCAGCGTATTGGCACCTGCAGACTACCTGTCGGTGGTCTGTGAAAGAGCTGGGAAGATCACATCTGGTTGTTGGTGGGCTTTGCCTATCCATCACAAATGGTTTTGGTCCCTAGATAAAAGCAGGCTTCCAGCTTTCATGATCTTACTCTGACTGCTTTACAAAATCAGAAGGTAGTTCTTGAAGTTAGTTTCGTCCTTTGTCAGGATTTTTACAAGATGTAGTGTGCCAGAAATGATTCTTCCTGTGCTGGATATGAAGGAGATGATATTTTTAATCCCTGTTATAGCTTATGTCTGTTTTTAATGAGGGATTTTGGTTGTTTTTGTTTTTGTCTCCCTGCACAATGCTCAACCTTTGGGGTGGCAAGTAATTCTCAGAGTATGAGTCTCATGCAACGTTGAATATGTATGTGGTAGATTTTTCTATTTCTCTGCATTTGTGGGGTGGTAGGAGGAAGGTGCATATGTGTATGTGTTTGGGGGAGCTGTTGTGCACTGTGTTTTCTGAAGTGGGTTTCCATAACAGACATTAGAAAAGTGTGAGGTGATCTTAGTTGATCTTTCCCAGATTTTCACTGTGTATTTATGCACTATCCTCTTACATTTCATGCAGAGATAGTGTAGTTAAAACATCTAGTTTCAACTCTGCTGGTCTTGTTTTAGTCTAGTAGTCTAACTTCATTTCTTGCTGAATGTTTGGTACTTCGGTGGTGGTGTTTGATTCTTCCAGTTGGTGTGCAAGTCAATATTCAAATCTTGCTGCTTTGTGGGTTCGCTTCCATTAAGTACAAATTAAAGGTTGGTCGTGGATTTCTTTGGATCTGTACAGTATGCAAGCTTAGTCCTATCCTGATGTTCATTCTGCACAGTTGTCATCATTCTGTGACTTGCCTCACAGGATCTTGGCCTTTCTACTCTTTGGGATGACCATCTGTCCTATGTGTTGTCACCAGCACTGGCAGCCTATGAGCTCGAACGTACAACAAGTATTTCTGCAGGAAATGAAGAGTTTCAGGATGCTGTAAGAAGAGCAGTACCTGAAGGTCACACATTTAAAGGGTTTCCTATCCATTTTGTGTACAGAAATGCCAGGAGAGCATTTGCCACGTGTCTTCGGTAGGTTTAAATGTAAGGATGTACATATGTCAAAACCAAATAGTAATACTTAATTTTATGAATTGCAACTCATTTTTTTGATAATGAAATTTAAAGAAAATTGATTTTCTTAAATTGGAACTGAAAGAAGAGTTGTATGGTATATGTCATGGGTCATGGGGTACAGAGCTTTTATGTTACATTGCTGAGCTCAGTGATGATAGACTTCTTAGGGGTTAAATTAAAGAATGAGGAGTTAAATTTCGCTGCGCTGGTTAAAAATGATCAGCGGTGGTCTTGTCTTCCTCCAAGGCAACACTCCCTGCAGTACAGAACAATATTATTTGTAATGACAGACTCGTGACACTCATTGTTATTTGTCTCAGTCACATTTGAAAAAATTGCACATACATAACTGAAAATTTTAATAATAGCTTAGTAATATCTGTTACTCTTGGTTTTTCTTTTTGTCGCATAGGTCTCCTTTTTGTGAAGAAATAATCTGTTGTAGGGGAGACCAAGTACGACTTGCAGTTCGTGTACGAGTGTTTACATACCCGGAATCTGCATGTGCTGTTTGGATCATGTTTGCCTGTAAATACCGCTCTGTTCTTTGAAAAAAAAACCAAAATCATTTATACCTTGTTTTAGATCTGCAAAATAATGTATGTGGGTATAAAATTATGCCGTTAAAAACTAATAGTGTATTTTATATAAATGCCACTGGTTTTTGAATACCATATTGTGTGTATTGAAGGGGATTGCATACACAGTAGTGATTGTATTTATAAAGAGAATTTATTCTTATTTTTAATAAAAGTTACTTTTAATACCTGTAGGAATGTGGGTCAAGTTACTAAAACGTGCATAAAGTACTAGCTTCTCTTCTGCAGTTCTGAATTGGTGTCAGAATTCATTTACAAAAAAGTCTGCTTTACCTCTCCAGGGTAAGAGAGTGTTGTACCTCCCCTCCTCTCCGTGCAGCGTCCAGGGTGTACTTTGGGAGCAACTGAGATCCAGAAATACTGACGTTTAAGCATGCGTCCTTTCCACAGCAGAATTTATTTCTGCCTCTCTTGGACCTAGCAATAGCTTCTACATTCAGCTTCTAAGAACAGTTCAGTCAGGTATTGGCAATCTTGTTAATCTATGAATTTAACAATTTATGGATTATTTTTTTTTTTAATGTTTAAAATTAAGACTTGGATACCTGAACATGTGAATAGCTGTGCCAGGTTAGATAAAGTGGTTTAACCTGATGCCTTTTTGCTGACGTTAGCTTGGGCAGTTTCTGAGGTAGAAGTTGTAGGCAGGCGTTTGGCTTAACAACCATTGATGGTCTTGTCCAACTCTGACACTCAGACCCACGCTTAATTATCCATCTCTGGTTTTGTTTATCTTAAACCTGTGGATGATGGCTCTCCTGAGTGTCTATTGGTCTTCATCCTTTGAGAAATGGCAAGCAGTGGGACTTAACTGAACTTCTCCATATCATGCCTCTCATGTTTTTTCACCGTGTGGACTCCAGCCATCTCTTTTTGAGGCTGAAGAATCAGGAACCATTTGATTTGTTCTGTAGAAGCCATTCTGTATCATTGATAGCCTGTGTCCACCTCCTTCTGGTCGACTTGTAAGAAAGATCCAACTCTTTCTGCTGGTGCTGGAGCAGGAAAAAAAAAAGCAAACCTAATCCTAGAGAAGCTTGCAACACATACAGCAGGAGTGAACGTTGGCATTTTGCGTGTACATTTAATCAGAAGGGTAGTGCGACACTGGTTTTGCCTTTTTTTTTTTTTTTTTTCTGGAAGTGTTAAATACTGCCTACTGCAGCACTGGGATTTTAACTTGAGATCTTCATAGTACATTATGTACTTCCTGGCCTTGCTGCTAACAGGTTTCAAACACTTTACAAATCTCTTTTTGTGTTATCTTTTTGTACCTGAAGGATCAAAATGTATTCATTTGCCTGTTACACAGCGTACAGGACCCTGATCTCAGAGCCTCAGACAGTACAGTTTCTCCACCGATTATATCTAATGTGAAAGGCTGGATCATACCGTAAGGTGAATATTGCAAAATTTAATAACTTTATTTAAATACTAGCTGTATCTTATTTGCAGCAGTGTACGTTACACACACGTACATCGTTGCAAGAGGGAAAAGGCACCCATGTTCAGTACAACTGGAAGCGAAACGGGAAGCGTTGGAGCTGAGCATCGTGTGGCCTTTCCAGCGTGCAGTGCAGTGCCTGTGCTGCAGGGGACACAGCCCAACGCTGGCTTGTCATCCGCGCGCTTCGGTCCCTCACGGAAAGCAGGTGCTAAGGGGAAATTTTAAATTTCCTTGCACGTAACGCTAGGTGAAATTGTAGAATACTGAAGAAAAAACCCAAATGTTTTTTTGATGTGCATTTTAAGTTGTTTAGTCCCTACGCCAGGCAGCTGGTATTTCTGTGTGAAGTGCTCGTTTCCTTGGCACCGGCTTGGGGAGATGCTGGCACAAAGGGGCCCAGCTGTGTTTGGAGGCCGGAATGTCGATTCCCAAAGATTTGGAAGACGGTTCTTCCCTTTCTGACCC